GGCTGCGGGAGGGTGGGGCTGCGGGAATGGAGGGTTGGGTGCTACGTTTCGGGTTATTTGGTTGGGGTTAAGTGGGTAGGCTATGGGGAAATGTGTTTTTGGTGTTTGGGTGGTGTTGTGGGTATGATTTGTGTTTTACTCCCTCCGTCCCAGAGTATTTGTCCACTTTCATTTTTACACACTATCCAATGCACTTCTTGAATCCATTTTATCTTGTAATTTGTATATTAAAAAATTATAGAAATTACATATTAATAATCTATATGTTAAGACAAATCAAACAAGATCACACATGACTATATTTAGGCTTACACATTGCGAGAATTTGATGAGTCAAAGTGCTTAGATGAACAGTTCCAAAAGTCAAAAGTGGACAAACAAAGCGGGACGGAGGGAGTGTTTTTCAAATGACATGTTTGTGCATTATTTGGTAAGGTGTTTTGAATTTGATTCACTCTCCCTATTGTTCTATTGAGTGATGTTTGAGTTTTAGAAACTAACCACAGAAATGGCAGTTTGGTAACTTCAGTTGGATGGAATTGTGTATGTTTATGTTTTCTTTTTCTTCTTTAATTTGACAATGCCAATTGTGTCCCAAGTTCGTTGGTGGGTATGAGTTGAATGTGTATGTGGCGTGTTTTGTTTTTATTTAGGTGTGGAAATCTAATAGTCTTCTTTCATGTTACTCTTTTTGCTTTGGTATAACCCTTCTATGGTATATTTGGACGTTATAACTTTGAATATGCATGTAATGATGTGTTATGTATAAGGCTTTGATTATGATCAAAACATACAGATGGATGATTTTTCTGAAAATCGTGAGTGGATGTATAAAAGACTATGTAATGATGGGTTGATTAACACGCCATGGGTTGATAATGTGAAAAGATTTATTGAACACTGTCAGTCTAATCCAAAGGTTGATAGAATACAAGAAGACATGTGTTGTCCCAGTAGAATTTGCAAAAATAGGTTTTATAAAGATCTTAATGAAATCAAACTGCATATTCCTCGTCATGGTTTCACTCCAGACTACTACGAATGGGTATCTCATGGCGAAGAACATGGGAGTTATAAGGGAGTAGGACCACATAAAGTGGCACGGCATACGAGTACATGCGTGGAGCACAGTATTGAGAGAGATCAATATACTATACGAGTATGGTTCTTGATGCTGCAGGTGCTTTATTTGATCCAAACATTGGCATTGAAAAGGAACCAAATGCTGTTGATAAAAAAATTTTTGAAATGCGAAAGGTAGCAGATAGAGATTTTCTGTTGAACCAAAAGATGTTATGATACTATTTGTCAACCATTCCAAGACGTTCTTCCCGAAAATAATACTATGGTCAATTACTTCTACCACACCAAAAAGCTTATAGAAGGATTGGGCCTTCCATATGAAAAAAGTGATAGGTGCATCCTAGTTTGCATGTTGTTCTAGGGTGAGGATGCACACCTAACTGAATGTAAAGTGTGTGCAAAGCCATGCTACAAGGACTTGAAATCAAAAATAGCCAACAAATACATGTTTTACTTTCCACTAACCCCTAGGTTGAAGAGATTGTACATGTCAAAGAAAACGGTGGAGTCAATGCGATGGCATTTAACTCATCATCATGACAATGACGGTGAAATGTGTCACCCATGTGGTTCAGAAGTTTGGAGACACTTTGACCAACAAAACTCTAGTTACGCTGTAGAAGGTCGCAAAGTGAGGTTGGGATTATGCACAGATGAGTTTCAACCGTTTGGTCAATCAGGTTCTCAATATTCATGTTGGCCGATAATGATAACTCCATACAACCTTCCTCCCAACATGTGGATGAAAGAAAAACATATATGTTTATCAGCGGTGGTGCCTAGGCGTTCAAATCCAAAGCAAAAGATTGACGTGTATTTGCAACCTTTAATTGCAAAGTTGAAAATGCTTTGGTTTGAAGTGTTGAGACATATGGTGTTTCTTTACGACAATTCTAAGTCATCAAATAAGTGGAGCAGACTTTGGCAGGTAAAGGTAAAGGGAAAGCTGACGATAATTCTAAGTCGTCAAATAAGTGGAGCAGACTTTGGCGGTTGAAGCTTACAAGCAGGTCCTCATCTAGCCAGAGCAGATCAGAGGTGCATCACACTACTCCAGACACCCCATCATCTGAGCAGAATGATAGCATTCACTCTCTTGGTTATAGAACAGGTTCCACACATGTTCCACCCCACACACAGGATGAGGATGAAATGTATTTCTATTATAGAGGATGAGGATGGAATATATTTGAATCATAAACCTTTTTTATATTTATTTATTTTCATACTGATTCTAGGACCATTGATGAAATGGAAGAGGACCGACCTCATGATGAGAGCGAGATTACCAGGCTGACAGTTGTTAGACAAATGTGCAACTCTAGAGGGGGGTGAATAGAGTTGTTTTCAAGAAAATGCGTTTTGCGCGTGTGTGAAATAATAGAATCGCAGGAATAAAATAAAGAGAGTAAGGGAAAGAAGAACACCGAGATTTATACTGGTTCACCACCTCGTGGCTAATCCAGTCTTCCGAGAGACTCTCTCGAAAGTCCTACTAATCTTCAAGCTTCAACGGGTGCTTGAAAAACCGGTACAACTTGAGAACTTGAATCACACAAGCCTCACTTTCTTACAACAACAAGACTTGAGTCACACAAGTCTTATGAACAATCACTCAAAAGAGATTGAGTTATACAACACAAGAATGAAAGCTCACACAATTGAGCAAGTAGTGTTTGAAAGATTTAAGCTCTATGGATGACAACTTCTTTAGCACTCAAAGAAAATATTTCTCTAACTCAAAAATAATATTTTGATGAGGAAGATGAAGCAAAGGATAAATATAGCTCAAAGGATATATTGGAGTGCAAGAGGTGTGTATTGAA